GATTAGGCTCTTAAAACTAAGAATCTAGACTTCTAGAGGCTCAAAGAAAAAGGCTGACCATCAGGGAGGTGCAGAGAAGAGCAAGGCAGGTTGACAACAGGGGTGGCCCGGTTGGTGCTGTGCTGTGGGGGATGGGCTCCTCGCTGAGCAGAGCTGGTGGGGTCAGGCAGAAGGGGGCTCCCCTGTGGCCCCCACCCATCAACTCCACTGTGCACAGTGGGAAACACGCCTGCCCTGGTCTAAAAGCCTCCCTCCCTGCCACGCACAACAGTGCTCCCCACATTGGGTCACTGAATTATTCACGTGTTCTCTGCTAGCACCTGGACGTTGCTGTACATATCCTCTTTGTTCCTGCCAGACTCTCTCATCTGAAGAATACCTGCCGGTTTCTGCCTCTGCCTTAGCTGCCTCCCCTCCCCACCTGAACTGGACACATCCTCCAGGCTTCCTGGCGCACAGTGACTGATTTAGGCCCTGGTTTTAGGGCCACTCACCTGATGTTCAAACGCTTCTCTTAGGAGGTGGTTGCTGGGAAAGCCGTGCCTTCCCACCAGTCATAAACTCTTCCCGTGTCCTCCCTGGCCTTGCCTGGTGTCTGGCACACTGTGGGTTCCATAAAGTTTTGTTAGGAAAGGTCACTGTGCAGTCACCAGCTGCAGATTGTCATCTCCCAGTCCAGGCACACCTTGTTTCATTGTGCTTCACAGATATTGCGGTGTTTTACAAATTGATGGTTTGTCGCAACCCCATGTCAAGGAAGTCTGTTGGCCCCATTTTTCCAACAGCATGTGCTCACTTAGTGTCTCCGTGTCACATTTTGGTACTTCTTGCAGTATTCCTTTTCTTGTTGTTTTGGTTTTGGTTTATTGTTGTTGAGATAGGGTCTCACTCTTTTGCCCAGGCTAGAGTGCAGTGGTGTCATCATAGCTCACAGCAACCTCAAACTCCCAGGCTCAAGTGATCCTCCTGCCTCAGCCTCCCAAGTAACTGGGACTACAGGCACGTACTACCACGCTCAGCTAATTTTTCTATTTTTTGTAGAGACAGGGTCTCACTATTGCTCAGGCTCGTCTCACACTCCTGGCCTCAAGCGATCCTCCTGCCTCAGCCTCCCAAAGTGCTAGGATTACAGGTATGAGCTACCACACCAGCCTGTCTCACAATATTTCAAATATTTTCATTATTACATGTTTTGGTGATCTGTGATCAGTGATCTTTAATGTTACTGTTGTTTTCAGGGCCATGAACCACGCCCATGTGTGACAGCAAACTTAGTAAATTTGTGTATGTTCTGACTACTCCACCAGCCATCTGTTCCGGTGCCGAGTATCCCTGTTCCCTGAGACACAGTATTGAAATTAGGCCAATCGATACCTCTACAGTGGCCTCTTAAGTGTTCCGGTGAAAGGAAGAGTTACATATCTCTCACTTTAAATCAAAAGCTAGAAATAATTAAGCTTAGTGAGGAGGACATGTCAAAAGCCAAGATAAATTCATTTTTGAAAGGGGAAATGGGAAAAGAAAAAAATATATATGGGCCAAAAGATAGGCCTCTTGTGCCAAACTCTTAGCCAAGTAATAAATGCAAAGGAAAAGTTCTTGAAGGAAATTAAAAGTGCTACTCCAGGGAACACATGAATGATAAGGCCGGGTGCGGTGGCTCACGCCTGTAATCCTAGCACTCTGGGAGGCTGAGGCAGGAGGATTGCTTGAGCTCAGGAGTTCGAGACCAGCCTCACCAAGAGTGAGACCCTGTCTCTACTAAAAACAGTAAAAATAGATGTGGTGGCCCATGCCTGTAGTCTCAGCTACTCAGGAGGCTGAGGCAGGAGGATCATTTGAATCCGGGAGTTTGAGGTCGCTGTAAAGCTAGGCTGATGCGCCACGGCACTCTAGCCCAGGCAACAGAGTGAGACTGTTACTAAAAAAAAAAATTTTTTTTGAAAAATAGAATGATTAAAAAAAAAAATGATAAAGCGAAACAGCCTTACTGCTAATATGGAGAAAGTTTCAGGGGTCTGGATAGAAGATCCAACCAGCCACGACATTCCCTTAAGCCAAAGCCTAATCCAGAGCAAGGCTCTAACTCTCTTCAATTCTGTGAAGGCTGAGAGAGGTAAGGACACTGCAGAAGAAAAGTTTGAAGCTAGCAGAGGTTGGTTCATGAGATTTAAAGAAGAGACTTGTCTCCATAACATAAAAGTACAAGGTGAAGCAGCAAGTGCTGATGGAGAAGCTGCAAGTTGTCCGGTTCTAGCAAGGTAATTGATGAAGGTGGCTGCACCAAACTAGAGATTTTCAGTGTAACCGAAACAGCGTGCGTGCCTGGCTCCAAAGCTTCAAAGGACTGTCTTGTTAGGGGCTAATGCAGCTGGTAATGTAAATTGAAGCCAATGCTCATTTACCATCCCAAAAATCCTAGGGCCCTTAGGAATTATGCTAAATCTACTCTCCCTGTGCTCTGTAAATGGAACTACAAGGCCTGGATGACAGCACATCTGTTTATAGCACAGTTTACTAAGTATTTGAAGCCCTCTGTTGAGATCTACTGCACAGAAAAAAAGATTCCTTTCAAAACATTACTGCTCATTGATAATGCACCCGGTCACCTAAGAGCTCTGATGGAGATGCACAAGGAGATTAATGTTGTTTTCATGGCCGCTAACACAACATCCATTCTGTAGCCCATGGATCAAGGAGGAATTTTGACTTTTCAAGCATTTTTATTTAAGAAATCCATTTCCGAAGGCTATTGCTGCCATAGATGGTGATTCCTCTGATAGATCTGGGCAAAGTAAATCGAAAATTTTTTGGAAAGGATTCACTTTTCTAGGTACCTTTAGGAATATTCACGGCCAGGTGTGGTAGCTTGCACCTGTAATCGAAGCACTTTGAGAGGCCGAGGTGGAGGATCGCTTGAGGCCAGGAGTTTGAGACCAGCCTGAACAAGAGTAAGACCCCATCTCTACTAAAAAATAGAAAATTAGCCAGGCAACTAAAAATAGAAAAAAGTAGCTAGGCATTGTGGCATGCGCCTGTAGTCCCAGCTACTCGGGAGGCTGAGGCAGGAGGATCGCTTGAGCCCAGGAATCTGGGGTTGCTGTGAGCTAGGCTGACGCCATGGCACTCTAGCCCAAGGCGACAAACTGTGACTCTGTCTCAAAAAAAAAAAGAAATACCTGGGAGAGCCTTCAGGAAGTTGGAAAGATGGATAACACCGGTCTCTGGAGCTGGGCCCTCTCCAGATCGTCCTGCTGTCTGAGCTTCCAGTCCAGCTCAGCCCTGTGTGTCACGTCTGCTGCAACGAGCCCTTGCTCTCTATTTGGTCTTTGCTCTTCCCTGGGTGGGGCTGATGACTGGACTGAGCCACTATTCGAGATTTCAGCCATCTGGACAGCGAGCTAGTGTATGGGAACAATGGGCTTGGGACGCTGACAAAACCACAAATCCTGCCTGGCTCTGCCACTGACAAGCTCTGTGATCTCGGACAAGTCCCTTCACCTCTCTGAGGCCTTCCCTCGTCTGTAACACACTCATTGGTTAACAGGAAGAAATGACAAAGGTGTAACAAAAGGTGCCTGACGTGTAAGAGGTACCCAGTAACTGCCAGCCACTATGTTTAAGAACGTGAATCTCCCGCCCTCCGTGGTTCCGTTAAAGCCACCCTCTGCTCCTGAGCAGCTGCGCACAGAGCTGGGCCCCAACAGTGCACGGTGGTGGATTTGCCCAGCTGAGGTGGAGTGGGGACTGTGCTTGGGCCAATGTCTCCACAGGACAAGGGGAACAGATGGCAGGATGTGTACAGAGCAGCAGGTGACGTCCCTGCCAGCTGTGGCCACGAGGGGGCACCACAGCCCCAGAGATGGTCCCGCTGCCCAGTCAGGTCTCTGTTTCTTGGCTCGCTGGGGGATACGTTAGGACAGAAGGTGATAGCCTTGGGCGCGGCCAGTCAGACTGTCCCGGGCCTGTGGAAAGCTCTCAGGGCTGAGGCCTGGTTGTACTCTGACTCTGTCAACCATGACCTTGGGCAAGGCACTTCCCTCTCTGGCCCAGGTCACAGGGCTGGAACCTACTCCAAAGGTCCCTTCCGGCACCAACTGCATGGTTCTAGGATGCGAAGATGAGGTCAGTTCCCCCTTCCTCACCCCCAGCCGGAGTCTGCTTCCGGGCTCCACACACTCTGGCTGGCAGCCTCTTCCCTGGGCAGTGAATGGCCAGAGAAGCCACGTGTTCCAGTCCCCTAATTCCAAAGCCCTGGGGATCTGCTGTTGGGGTAGCGCTGGAGGAGGTGGAAGGGCAAGGTCAGGTGAGCCGAGAGCCTCCAAAGTCTTGCTTCATTCAGGACAGACATCCGGCTTCCTCTGGCCTCTCCCGGGACTCCAGGGGCTTAAAGGAATGAGTCATGGGGGGGTATAGGGGAGTTTCCAGCTAATCAGCTTGGGCAGGATAGCCTGGAACCTGAGATGGTGTCTATCCAAGTGTGGGGTGGGGACAGGAGACAAGACCCCAGCGTCTGTGTCTCAGGCCAGGGGTCCCCAGGAGGTGACCCAGGAAGGCAGCCTCCAGGGAGCTTGGAGGTTAGGAATGGGGGCAACTAGTTTCTTCCCTTCTCTCTTAGAATTTGGGGGCTTGGGATGCAGGTGGCTTGAGACTCCCAAAGGAGGGGGCAGAGGAGGCTGCCCCAGGACGGCTGCCGGAGAAGGGAGGCCCATGTGGAGGCCGCCTCTCCCCCACCAGCCTGACCAGCCTCCAGCCTCCCAGCTGCTCTCAGAGGCTCAGCCTTTGCTGCTTTTCTGTTCAAACACCCTGGGGCAATTTGAGCTTGGGCGGGGCAGGAGGGGAGGAAGGGAATTTGAGGGGGACAAGACGTCAAAGAAGGATCAGAGATTCCACAATTTCACAAAACTTTCGCAAACAGCTTTTTGTTCCAACCCCCCTGCATTGTCCTGGACACTAAATTTGCATAAATCCTGGGAAGTTATTACTAAGCCTTAGTCGAAGCCCCAGGTAATTTCCTCCCAGACCTCCATGGGCTTATGTATAAAGGCCCTCTGGAGCTGGGCCCGACAGAGTTCGGCGCCTGCAGCCCAGACCCACCCAGAACCATGGCTGGCCCCATGAAGCTGATGGGTGAGTGTCTTGGCCCAGGACCAGAGCGCTGGCTGCCCCGGGCGTGGGAGGGAGGCCGGAGTGGCAGAGGGGCTGGGGATACTCACTGTAGGAACGGGGAGTAGGGACACCCAGTGTCCCCAGGTGGGAGTGGGTGGGCGGCATGCCTCCTGAGCCCTGTCCGTCCCCAGCCCTGCAGCTGCTGCTCTGGCACAGCGCACTCTGGCCAGTGCAAGAAGCCAGCCCCCTGGACCCTGCCAGCTCCCTGCCCCAGAGCTTCCTGCTCAAGTGCTTAGAGCAAGTGAGAAAGATCCAGAGTGACAGCGCAGCCCTGCAGGAGAAGCTGGTGAGTGGGAGAGCTGGAGGACACTGAGCAGGAGAGGAGGGGGAAGATGCCCTCAGGAAGGGACGTGGGAGAGGGAGACACACGGGGGACATGGGAGAAAATTAGGAGAGGTGGCAACATGGAAGGCTGGGAAGGAACTTGGGGAACAGAACCTCCAGGGAGGATATCGAGGGCCATGGGCCAAGGGTGGCGAGTGGGTCCGCGCATCGTGGCAGGACGGGCACAGGCAGGGAAGGCCAGGAAGCCGGGGAGGCCCCGGGGAGGAGGAGCGACAGCCTGGCCAGGCGGTTCTCACGCAGCACGCTTCCATCCCCAGTGTGCCACCTACAAGCTGTGCCACCCTGAGGAGCTGGTGCTGCTGGGGCACTTTCTGGGCATCCCCCGGACTCCCCTGAGTGGCTGCCCCAGCCAGACCCTGCAGCTGGTGAGTATCAGGAGGGGAGGAGGGTGACGGGGCAGGAAGGACAGGAGTGTCCCCAGCAGCACCTAACTCTCCTGCTGTTTCCCCAGGCGGGCTGCTTGAGCCAGCTGCACAGCGGCCTCTTCCTCTACCACGGCCTCCTACAGGCCCTGGCGGGGATCTCCCCGGAGTTGGCCCCCACTGTGGACATGCTGCAATTGGACGTCGCCGACTTTGCCACCACCATCTGGCAGCAGGTGAGCCTCATTGGGGGAGGCAGGCAGCAGGGCCAGAAGCTGGTCCCCAAGGTCACGCTGGCACGGCCGGCACAGCAGGCTGGGGATCCCCAAAGTCTTTAGGGTTGGGGCCACGAGCATTCTTGGGGGCCTGTATGTGGCCCATCCCAGGCCCCTCCTTCTGCTGGCCTTCCTCTGGTCCCCTAGCTAGAGCAGGAGACAGAGCACGGGACCTTGACAGACCTGGGTTCAAGTCCTGGCTCCCCCGTTATCCGAGTGACCTTCCACAGTCGGATGTGTCAGCATTTCCTCATGTGACGCGACCAATGCCCGTTCAGCCGGCCTGACCACTGTTCTCATCTTTGCCCACAGATGGAAGACCTGGGGGTGGCCCCTGCCCTGCAGCCCACCCAGGGCACCATGCCCACCTTCACCTCTGCCTTCCAGCGCCGAGCGGGAGGTGTCCTGGTCATCTCCCATCTGCAGAGCTTCCTGAAGCTGGCGTACCGCGTGCTGCGCTACCTCGCCCAGCCCTGAGCAGAGCCCTTTCCCTCCGATGTATTTATCTCTATTTAATATTTATGCCTATTTAAGCCTGTATTTAAAGGCGGGGAAGAGAAGAACGAAGCCCCAGACTTCTGGGTCCTTCCCTCTGTCTCCAACTTTCATTCTCCTGCCTGTGGCAGCGAGAAAAAGCTCCGTCCTCCTGTCCCCTGGACTAGGAGGTAGATAGGTAAATACCAAGTATTTGTTCCTGTGACTGCTCCTGCCCTGGCTCTGCGGGGCCCTGGGAAGAGCCACAGTGAGCCCTCCCCCAAGGGTACCCACCTTGGGGCCCTCGGGAGCGTCAGAAGGTCTCCCACATGGGAGACAAGACATCCCTGTTTAATATTTAAACAACAGTGTTCCCCAACTGGGTCCTCCTACCCTCACTCTGGCCTCGGCCATCTGTGCCAGGCCCTGCATCCCTTGGACTCGCAAGGGCAACAGAGCTGTAGGGGGGCTGACCCTGGGGTCCCACGAATTTGCTGGGGAATCTAGTTTTTTCTTAAGATTTTGGGGGCATGTTTTGACTCCCAGCACGAGGCACTCAGGCATCAGCGACGTTTCTCCCATTTTTCTGGGTGGTTTTTCTCGGTGCCCTTAGGACGCCTGCCCTGCCCCCACCAGGGTCAGGACCCTGACTCTTTTTAGGGCTGGGCAGGTGGCTGGGACTGGGGATGTGGGAGGGAACATGTCAGGTATGTGCGAGAGGAAGCACGACCGTGTACCTTCCACCTCTGCCCCCACTGTCTCACTGTAACCAAGCTTCACAATAATAAAGTGTTTGTCCAGCAAATGTCCTTCCTCCTTCTTGAGTCCAGCTGGTGCCTGGCCAGGGGCTGGGGGGTGGGGGCTGAATGGTGGGAGAGGCCAGAGGGAGGGGGAGGAGGTGTGGGGAGGAGTAAGGGGGGTTCTGGAGCTCAAGCGACATTCCTCTACTGTGTTTATCTGAGCACCTACTATGTGCAGGTGCTGGCGGAAGTGCTAGGGACATAGTGAACAAGGCAGACATAGTCCCCACCCGCATGCAGCCACAGCCTTGAGGGGGAGACAGAAAGCACAGGGACCAAGGGTGCGACAGAGAGATGGGGCTGGGGGTTCAAGTAACAGGCTAGACGCCACCAGGCAGGGCTGACCCAAGGGGGTGCGGACATCTGCGCAGGGCTTGTCACTTTGCCATCATCCCTAAACTCGTGCCCATCCATAAAGTCACCTGCAAACACAGAGGAAGCCAAGTTCAGGGCGACCACTGGGGTCAGAACTTCTTATCAGGCTCGGCCTCTGCACTCAGCCCGGCTGGCCACTTCCTCGAAGTTGCGGCCTTGTGGGCTGAAGAGGGGAGAAGGGGCCGGGAGGGTGGCGAGCTGTGGCGAGCAGAGGGGCTGGCATCTAGACCACAGAATGCCCTGTGGTTCCGGGTGCCCCCACCGTCCCCCCAAACCCATCCTGAGCTCCTCGGCCACCTCCCTCCTGCCCTCTCCATGTGGCTCCTTAGAAAGCAGGGTCAGTGGCACCAGCTGCTCAGCTCAGGGTCCTCCGTCTCGGGGCTTGGAGACGTGCGCGGCAGACAAGGAAGGGTTACAGGGCATTCCTGCACTGTGTCCCTCGGTTCCTCTTCTGCAGGGGACAGATCAAAATCTGAGCCAGACCATGGGTGGGGTCAGGCCGGGTTGAGTAGCAGAGGAGCAGGACACTCTGCCCCGGCACCGGCGGGCCCGCAGCCAGAAGCTCTCCCTCTCCAGGGCACGGCCGCTTTGGCGGAGGGGGCGGCAGGTGGTGCTGACTCAGGGGGGAAGCTGCTCTCATGCCCCCGCCCCGCCCCAGCTGAGTGGACCAACATGTCCCTCCTCCACTGCTCCTGCTCCTCCTCCTCCTCCCCCCGCCCCCACAGGACTGCGCCTCTCCCGGGCCACAGCACTAGGGAGTCCAGGGAGAAGGTGCTGTCCCCTGCCCCAGTTGGCACAGGCACGGACACTTCGTCACAAAGGGATCCACGAGGATCTTTATTTACAAGTGAACGGGGGTGGACTTCCCCTCAAGTGTTAGGAAAACATGTATCTACACACACGTACTGTGCATCCACACGGCGCCTCAGAGGAGCATCCCCACCTGGAGCAGGGGTGACCGCTGGGAACCGGGCTGCTCACACTCCAGGTACCAGCGAAGGGGACAGGGGATTACAAAAGAAGGGACCGGAAGCTGTCTCGGAGGTCAGAAGTCAGGAGCAGGGGAAACGTGGACACTGACGAAGGGCTCTTGCATCATGTGGATGTGAGCAACGATGTCTCATCTTTCCTCACTGCTCCCTTCATAGGCGCCGGGGACCGGGACCCTCCCTGGCCACCCCTCAGAGGGCAGCAATGGCCTTGGCAGCCACCTGGCGGCCCTGGGGCAGGCTGAGGTCCGTGATGGCCAGAACCACCTTGGGGCTGGACATGGCCGACACCTTCACTAGTTCTGACACCTGCCAGACAGACAGACAGACAGCTGCCCACTGGATGGCCCATGCAGGGTGTGTGGCAGGAGGCGGGAGGCCCCGTCCCCAGGGCACTCACGGTGGTGAAGGGCATGAACTGCAGGATGCTGCCGCGGCTGCCCTGCTCCAGGCAGTCCACACACTCCTCCATGAACCACTGCACGAACTGCGTGTGCGGGCCGGCCGTGCGCGAGCCCAGGATGGAGGAGATGAGCAGGAACAGGTTGGCTGTGCAGAGTGGGGGGAGCGAGAGGGATTCCATGACAGGGGTGAGAAGAGGTCAGGCTCTGGGGGAAGACGGGGCTGAAAAGGGAAAACGTGCTGAGAGTGCCCCAAAAATGGAGTGTGGAGGAGAGGAGGTGTGAGAGAATTAGGAAGAGGCGGGGAGCCGGGAGAGCCTGGGTGAGGGAGGAAGGGGTGGGGAGGTGCGGTACGGGAGCCCCTCCAGCTGAGCCTCTGGTGCAGCAGCAGGGAGGGACAGGGACTCACCCAGGACTCGGTTCAGAGGGTCCCTCATGTTGACCGTGTGGAGCTGGGAGGCCGAGAGGGAGCTGCTCATGGAGCGGTCGGCTGCAGGGCGGAGCAGAGGGAGCGCTGAGGACGCTGCCCGCTGCATCCTGTCCCCCACCCACGGGGTAACTGGTGCACGGAGGCCCAGGGAAGATCCTTAGATCAAGAGCACAGAGGGGGCCGGGCGCCGTGGCTCACACCTGTAATCTCGGCACTCTGGGAGGCCGAGGCAGGAGGATCGCTCGAGCCCAGAGTTTGAGGTTGCTGTGAGCTAGGCTGACGCCACGGCACTCTAGCCAGGGCAACAGAGCCGGAAGTACAAGGCGGCCCCGCTGGCCATGAGAAAGAGGAGCTGACACTTGGCCACCACCACCTGGACTAAGAGGCTTCACCTTCACAACAGCCCATTTTACAGATGAGGACACCAAGACGCACACTTGCTAAGTAGATAGCTAAGTCGCAGGGTTTATACGTGTCAGATTCAGCATCGCTCCTCTGCTTAAGCACGTGGTTTGTCCCCCAGTCCCTTAAAGGCTTCAGAGAAACTTATAGGCTCAGGAGAAATCTCTAAATGCCACAGAAGGAGCTCTTGGCAGAAGTCTGGTGGGAAGGAGGAAAGTGAGAAAGGAGCGACATCCAGGGAAGTCAGGGTGGGGAGGGGCACACTTCAGGCAGGAAGAGCGGGGGTAGCCCCAAGGCCCAGCCAGGGCCTCTCAGGGCACATCTGGGGTAAGGAAGGAAGGCCAGAGCTGGTGAGTCAATGGCACAGGCTGTACCCAAGGCAGTGAACTCACTTGGTGGCTTGTCAACCCCTTAACCCTGCGGGAAAGAAGGGGAGGGGCAGAGACGACCGTGAGCTGGGCTGGGACCTGGGCAGAGGAGAGGAGACGGCAATCTCTGTAGGAAACACAGTCCCCCCGACAGGGGACAGAACAGCACAAGCCTCCGCTACACCCTCTCTGACCAGCAAAGATGCCTGCTGGGCCCGGACAGAGCAGACCTGGGGGTGGGCTGCCAGGAGAGGAAGCAGCCTGCCCGCCCTGCCCACACTCACTGGGACTTGAAAGGACGTTGGTGTCATCCTCGTTGGAGCTCAGCAGTCGCATCAGCTTGGACGGCTGCGTGTCGTCCAAGGGGAAGAGGCTGATGTAATCCTGGAGGGCAGGAAAGTCACTGTCACGCACCCCTGAATCTCAAATTGCCAGTTATCGGGGGACAGGAGAGAGGACTGGAGCTCAGATTTGAGTGGGGAAGAGTCAACACCCCACAGCCCTCTGCGGGCCTGGAAGGCAGGGTCTCAGCCCCTCCGCCCACGCCGCCCACTCTGCCCACGGTCCTTTGCTGGGCAAAGAGCACCTTACAGGCCCCTCTCACCAAGCGCAGTCTGGGGGCCACACAGCCACCCCTCCAGACCCTGCCACAACTGTCCCCAGGGCAGGGACCGTGTCTGATTCTCCTCGCCTGGGGAGGTGCGTCTTACCAGTAAACTGCTGAATAAACACGTAAACCAGCGAACACGGGGGCCCTACCTCGATGTCCTCGCGGTGTCTCTTCTTCTGGCGGGTGGACGCCTGTCCCTTGTGGGAGGAGTAAGAGCTCAGGGCACACCACACAGCCAGCCTGGCGAAGGGTTCCAGGAAAAAGGGTACAATTAGAGGGGCCCCAAGGAGGTTTCTGTGTCCATACTGACCAGGCCCCTCCGACAGGGCTCCCCACAGCCAGGGGAGGGGTGCGGGCTCCAGGCTGGGGGCTTGGGGCTGTGGCGTGAGAGCAGAGCAGGCCCTGAGGAGAATCCTACTTGGCAAGCGCAGTGCCCGGTGGGTCCATGAGACTGTGCCACTTGGAGGAGTCGGTGAGCAGGCCAGGCAGGATGTGGCCCAGCAGGACCAGGGTGACTTGCGGCATGTCCAGGCAGAAGATGGAGTAGAGCAGCTCCACCGCACGCAGAGTGTGCTCCTTCCGTGTCTCCTTGAGCAGCTCCTGGGGACACAGGGGAGGGGGGCAGTTTAGGAGCTGGGGGCCCTGGACCTGGGGCTCTGACACCCCAGCGCCTTCAGCGTGGCTCTCTGGGAAGGCGCAGAGGGGCCCGGGTGCCGCGCCATCCCTCAGGCCGAATCCCAGCCTCTGGCCAGAGCTGCCCGAGGAGGCCACTCCAAGGCGAGGGCCCTGTCTTAGTGTAATTTTATTCCCAGGAGGCCGCCCAGCTCACTGCAGTCTCTCTAAGCCCAGCTGACCAGGCTGGGTGCTGGGAAGTCAGGGGACGGGACGGAGTTTGGACCGGTCAGGTATTTCCTCAGATGTCTACAGGTCTGAGGATACCTGCTCCCCAGCCCATGGGTCTGGCCCACACCCACCCCAGCCCCAGCACCTTAATCAGGTTGTTGCAGAACCAGTAGACGCCGCCCATGTGCAGCAGGGTGTCAAAGATGTGGATGGAGCGGCTGTCCACCCAGCCCTTCTCCAGCACCTTGGCAAAGATGTCCGTCAGCACCTCCTTGATGGGTCGCTTGGGGGGCAGCAAGTTCCAGTAGGGCATCGTGTCCACCCCCGTGGAGGGGAACTTGATCTGCGTGGCTGTCTGCTGTAGCACGTCAGCACACATGTGCTCCAGGATGGAGCTCATGATCACCACCCTGGGGGCGCGGAGAGGACCTGAGGTTCAGGCGCCGCAGTGGGGAGGGGAGGGGAGGAAAGTCCAGGCCAGACTCTCCCATGGGTTTGGGTTATGGAAAGATCCCTGGGGCATTAACCCCATTCTGTGCTGGGAGAGGAGACAACCCCCAGCAGACCTGGCCCCATGGCCCTGTTCCTGGCAGGGCTTTCTCTTGCTGGGCATATTAGTGGGGGCTTTCCTCCCCCAGGCCGTTCCAGTTCCAGCCACATAACTCATATTTTCTCTCTCTCTCACTCTCCAACTCTCCCCATCCCCCAGGCCTGGCCCAGCCAACAGGATGGCATAAATAAATACAATCGCTTCCCCCTGGGCGGAGAGCTTGGGGGGTCCCCGCCTAGCCTGGCCTCCTCCCAAAGTAAACTGTCACTTCCAGGAGAGGGAGGGCCCGAGGGCTGCCCCACAGGACTCTTCCCGGCCCTTGGTAGCTGGGCAAATAGAAATGTATGTCCAGGAATTTTCTCAAGGAAAGTCTTCAGCTGTGAAGGCAGACCGGGTCTGAGTGCTGACTGTTCCTGGAATGCTGGTGGTTCTGGAAAAGTCGCTATGACTTTTCCCACCTGCACAATGGAGCCAACTGTCCCACTGTCCCTCACCCAGATAGGACTCAGGGTCCTTAGATTGAATTATGTCAGAGCAAATGCTCCATCCTTTGGCTGGGGGTTGGGGATGAGGGAAGAAAGGAAAAAAGGAAGAGGCAGGGGCAAAATGGGAGGTGTGACTTTATAGATCCTTCCTAAACCTCACTTCAGCTAAATGTTTCTGCTTCTCCCTTGTAAGACATCTTCCACGGCGAGTCTGTGAGGCAACACTCAGAACTCACTGGCCGGCGAACACCCGTGTTCACAGCAGCACTAGTCACTACAGCCAGGAGGCGCAAGCAAGCCGAGTGTCCGTCCACAGACGAAGGACAAACAAAACGTGGTGTGTCCATACAACGGAGTGTTAGTAGGCCTCAAAAAGGAAAGAAATCCTGTCACCTGCCACATATGGTTGAACTCTGAAGACATTACACTCAGTGATATCAGTCGGTCATGACAAGGCAAATACCGAATGACTCCAGTTAAATGAGATCTCTAAAGTAGCCAAATTCATAGGGACAGAAAGTAAAATGGCAGTTGCCAGGGGCTGGAGGGAGGGAGAAATGGGAAGTTGCTTAATGGGTACAGAATTTCAGAGATTTAAGGAGAAAAAGTTCTGGAGATCTGTTGCACAACAACGTGAGTATATTTAACACTATTCAACAGTACATTTAAACATGGTTAAATGGTAAACTTTTTTTTTCTTTTTTTTTTAGAGATGGGATCTCAATATGTTGCCCAGGCTGGTCTTGAACTCCTGGCATCAAACGATCCTCCTGCCTCAGCCTCCCAGGAAGCTGGGACGATAGGTATAGCCACTGCTCCTGGCTCAAGATGGTAAATTTTATGTGTTTTTTTTTTAACCACAATTAAAAACAACTTATTGGTTGGACGAATGAACCAACACCACTGACCTCAACATAGCTGAAGTCACCAGGGAGGTCCTCCAAGCCTCAGAAGAACCAGGGCAGGAAACTGTCACAAGAGACAGCTGGGGGTAGAGGGACAGCCTGTAAAATCTACAGATGGGCTGACAGTTTCCTAGACAGTGACATGGCTTTGTGCTTTTGGTGAGCTAGTTCTCTAGAACTTGAGCTCTTGGAGGGTAGGAGTCAAAGCTGTTTGGGGTCTATATTTCTGGCACAGAGTAGATGCTGGGTTGTAAACACTCCTGGCACAGGGACACACACTAAATGTTTGCTGAGTCAGTTGAGTGAATACGTCAATAAGAAAGTGAGAGAGGAAGTGAGTGAGCAAGCAGTGCGTCTGGGGAAGGTGAGAAAAGAGAGGGGTATTGGTTACTAGAGGTGCTGACTTCTCACAACACACCTGCAGGGTTTGAGAAGGGAGCGGACAGGTTACTGACCTCTCATTGTAGAACTGAAGGGTGTTCTCACTACACAGCGGCCCTGCCAGCTGGCGGATCATCTGCAGTGACTTCTCACGCTCATCCAGCCCCAGCATCCGGACGTGGGCCACGAGCCAAGCCACAGCACACACTGCCAGACTGCATACCTTTCCCTTGATGTTATCAGTGATTTTCTGGGGGAGGGGGGAAAGGGTGACAGGCTACTATGGCCCCTTCCCTAGACATCACTTGCCCAGGCTCTGGGGCAGCTAAGTGCAGCAGGTGGAGTCCTAGGCCACACTCTACGCCTCTCTCTGCCACAAGTTTGATTTTCCCAGAGCTATCTGGGAGGGAAGGAGTGGCTGAGACTACAATTACAGGGAAGATCAATACCAAAGCGTGATCAATACCAAAGATTAGGGTCTTCTTGCTCTTACAAAAATAATCCACCAATGACTGGCTCTGGGTCTCAGGGAAGAGAGAAGGCTGCCAGAAAGGTGGGGTACCTGGATGGACTCGAAGGCCAGCACCCCATTCTCCCAGGCGTTGAGGATTTCCAAGATGGCAGCTGAAATGCTGAGGCAGGCTTCGTGCCACTTCATCTGCCTATGGGGTGTGGGATGGGCTTAGCGAGAGGGTCTCAGGGGCTGCACCACATGTGGCCTTCTGGATCCTTGAGTGTGGCCTTTTGACTGAATCCAAATTTTACAGAACAAATCCTTTTAATAAAGGAATCTGCTCTGCGAAGTTTGGATTCGGTCGAGGGGTCACACTTGGGGATCTGGAGGGCCACATGTGGCCGTGAGGATGCAGGTTCCCCACCCCTGGCTCGACCCTGCCCCCACCACCGCCCTTGGAGTGGGTGCCCAGGCCACTAACACCAGCTTCATCTCTGAGGAGTTGTTGAGCAGGGCCACCAGGGACTCCACTTTGGTGGAGTCTGGCCGGAAGCAGGGGTGGTCAGGGTTCAGGATCTTGCCCTCCTCGGGCATGCAGGTCTGCATCCAGGTCTCAAAAAAGGGCACCTCTGCTCCTGTGCGTGACTCGGACAAAATCACCTGGAAGGGGGTAGAGAGGCACCAGCTGAGTGGGGTGGGTGCGGCGCCTGCCAGAGCTGACCTGGGACCGTCCACACTTCAGTTTCCTGCCACACCGCTGCTCCCTCCCCAGCCTGAAGACCTGGGGCGAGCTGGTCTAAGGGAGGCGGATGGGGGCTATGCTGCCACCTAGTGGTCAGTGTGAGCGTGGCACCGGAGGATTCAAGACGTGACCAAAGGGGCATCTACTTAGACTTTGCCCAGGATGGGGGCCTGATTTCTGAGGCCAGCAGAACTAACTGGCTTGAGACTGATAGGAGACAGGGAGTTGAGGTGGTGGAGAGTTACTGGTTGCTTCCTTCCCCTCTGACCCGCCCACTTGGCACCCTAGTCCTGCCTGCTCTCGTCTCACCTCTGAACCGTAGGTCTGGGCCACGTAGCACAACATGAGGAAAGAGATGTCAAAGAGCAAGGCACGAACTGAGGCTGCTTTGGCTGTGGGAAGGACAGGAAGGCGTCAGCCTAGGGTAGGGGCCCAAAGCCCTCATCTGGGTAGGGGGGATCAGGACTTGCCTCCAGGAAGGTCAGGGACCAAGCGGCTCCTTCAAAGCTCTGAGGCTCAGAATCCTTTTCTTGAGTCTCATTTGAAACATCATCCCTTCCTTAGAATCAAAGGCACCTGGTGCCCTCCCTGCCCCCAACACCCAACCAAATCCCAGAGGGGGCCGGAGTGGGACAGACACAGGGATAGTTTTAGAAGAATCCTTTTCCAGCATTACCCTCTGTCGGGCTTCAGTCAGTCATGGCTCAGGGGAGGAAGGAAACAGCCTCCCCACCATGAGCAAAGGCTCCCTCCTCCCTCCCCTGTTCTCTCCCTCCACACCCACTCTCAGGGCCTACTGGGTCCGAGGATGCGCAGAGCTGACTTACGGTTGTCTTCGCTGCCATGGGTCGTGAACTCATTCAAACTGTGGAAGGAACGGAGACAGGCTGCATCAGCCAGGGCAAGAGCCGGGCAGGAGCTGGGTGCTGGGGTGCACATGCTCAGGGCTGGTCATTACAGTCTGAATGACAAGCTAGACTTGAAATGAACACCATTGCTACAGAAAAAAGAACTATTTCTAGCTATCGCTAAAAGATTTCCAAGGCTTAGAGAATGGCTCGCTGAATGGAACAATGTTCTGTATGTCAAATTCCGTCAACTAGCAAAGGTAACAGAATCTGAGTGCCCCCTGTGAATAACTGGGCATACTGGGAATTCCTGCATGCCTAATAGTCAATGCCACCTCACTCTACTAAACATCTTCGTTTCATCCTCAGCTGAAGAGAAAAGAGCACTTCGGGCCAAGAGAACTGGCCCTTCCTCTGAGCTCCCTATCTGGGATGCTTTCCTGGGCCTGCACATCTCCGGGCAAGACCCAGACCCACATGCCTCACTCCTCCCTTCGTACGGGGCCTCCCGCTGTGGTCAGGGATGGGCCTTCCTCACTTGATGAATTTCCGGGCGAATGATTTAAGCTTTCCCGTGGCGGCAGCAGCAGCCAGCAGCAAATCCAGACTCTTCCCAGACAGCATGTGGCCCAGGACCCCAAGCAGTCCCTCCGGGGACTTGGAGTGGTCTGCATCCATCGTCTGGGGACAGGACAGGAAATCAAGTCCTGAGGAACACTGAAGACACCCCCGAGATCCAGCCTAGCCACATTTTCTCTCTCCCACAGCTTGCAATTTAATCTTTAAATTTACATCTTTCTGACTGCAATCTGGAAAATCATTCCTAACACCTATCCTTGCCCCCTGACCCATCCCTCTCAACACTGGCACCACTGTGGGGTGGGCGAGGTCACGGCTGAGGGATTTTCTATTTTTCCACATGCGATGGCCTGGGTGCAAGTACCCAGCACAGGCCTGGTGTACGAGTGAAGCCCCCAAGTGTCAGTGTTCAGTGGTAGCTGCCCCCGCTTTCTCTACTTCCAAAGCAATTACATAGAAAGCCAAATGAGAGAGAGGTCTGTGGCCTCTGTTTATTTATCTGGAAGTAGAAGGAAAACTGTAAAGAGGAAAGAGAAGACCCTGGTGGCCCGGGAAGGGCACACTCACCTTGAGAATGTTTGTGACAGTGGGCTCCGCCCGGAGGATTAGGCCAGGGTTGGGCTGGATGTTGGCGTTTTCTCCTGATTTCAGCTGGGGTGCGTGCTCCCGGTCTAATGCGCTGAGGCCATAACCAGGAGGCCAAGAGAAGGGAAGAGGAACAGACAGAAGTTCTTGACACACTCCCTAGTCCAAGCCCAGAAGCAGAGGACAGAGACGGTGGGACGCATATCCTTGGGGCTGGGGTGAAGTTTACGAACATGTACTCAATACTGCAGTCCCTGCGATTGGGTCATGTCACTGTATCTATTTTGAAAGTTCATTTAAGATTAAAGGAAGATTTAGGATGTTTACTTTTATCACAGAAGTGGGCATGAGTTAAAAAGCAGCAAATAAGAGTGTAAAACTCTGGTCTGAAGAAATCAGTGTCTTCTTTCCCTCCTGTTTCCTGTACCCCTGGGCATGGGCCCAGTCACTTGCAACCCAAACTTTCGACAGGAGGAGAAAGGCAGCAGCAGCCATATCTGGACATGGGAGAGGGAGCTCGAGGGGGTCTTGGGGCAGCCCACATGCGCCCACACTTACCGCTTAGCCATGAGGTTGTTGACACTGGCTTCAGACAGAAGCCCCTGCTTGCTACATTCTTGGAGGAGGAAGTTTGCACAGTCACAGCTGTGAAGGGAAAGGATGCTGAGAGAATTGGGCACCTAGCTGGGATTTTGAGGGGTAGAAATAGCAGGTCCCCGCCCAGGGTCCTCCCTCCTTTAGGATGAAGAAACTTTGGAGGGCCTCAGGGAAGGCAGAGGGGCTCTGGGTACTCAGCACCTATGGGCTGCTGCTTCCTGCCTCTGCCAAGGGGTGTAAACAAGGAGACAGAGTCTCCCGAGGCGTCTCTGGCACAAAAGAGCAGGGGAAGGGCCCAGAACACCTTCCATAGAGCGTGGTGAGCAGGGGAGCCGTACTTGCAGTGCTGGTCAGCTTTGTCCAACAAGGGTGTGAGCTTCAGCAGGAACTCAAAAGCACAGTTGACATCCTCAGTGAAGTCCTACAAAGAGTCAGAAACTTCCACCTGGTTTTGAGGTCCTCCACTCCTCCCACAGTCTGCAATGCAGGCTCGCGAGGACACCCGGCTGGATACAAGAGCTTGCAAGCCGGCCGGGCGTGCCCACCACTGGCTCCCCAGTGGCTGGATGGAGAGAAGCAGGAGGCATCCCCGCTCCCTGCACAGCCACCCTGGCCTTGATAATCTCAAGGACCTTGCCTGCTGGAGCAATTGGCCTAAGCTGGCCGGTGGCGTGTCTGGAGCCCGGGTGCGTGTGCGTGGACACACATGCTTCCAGCCTTCTCCCGGGCACAAGAATGCTTTACTGCCCAGCTAGGGCCTCACTGACCTTCCCCTTGCCCTCACTTCTCTGGGGCAGAAATATCTTCACCTGTTCCCATGGCCCCATCTCAATTCTTCAACTCACCCTGTCCCCGTGAGAGTACTTCTTCAACTTCACCAAAACCTGTGGAATCTAGTGGGAGGGGTAGGGGAAAAACAGGAGGATCGATTTCTTTTCTCTTTCACCTACCACGGAAAGCATCCTCCCCGCCCCTCCTCTGGGCAGAGACACAGGAACACCCTGCCCCGGCAGTGAAAGCACTCCCAGAGCTACATCAGAAAACCAAGAGGTGCCCAAGCACCTGATGCCCTCGGCCTGCAGGACACAGGGACCTCTCATCTCTGCTGGCTTGACAAAGAAATGCCTTGAGCAGAAATAGAACCCTAGTTTCAAGGAGGACCGAGGGCCCCCTTCCCTGGCTGCCGTCACTGTCCTGCCTCGATCTGGCTGATGACTGAGCCAAACCGCACCGCTGTGGTAAGAAACAAGAGTCCTGCCAAGTGGGCTAAATATAGCCCTGGGACTTCACAGAAAATAATCGATGGGAACTGTGCTGGGATACCTGGCAGGCTGGGCACCGGGCCAGCAGGGAGGGACACAAGGCAAAGGTCCAGGGTGTCACTGCTTGTCCTCACTTTCCTCACTTTTCCCCACTCTCGGCTGGGCTCTCTGTGGCTGCCACGTCCCTAGGTACCTTGAGGAAGGTGAAAGCTGTCCACTTGAGCTCCTCCGTCCCCTCGGGAGACTCGATGATCCCCACGAAGCAAGCTTTCCAGATCTCCAGGACAAAGAGCGGGGTGGGGATGTGCTGTGGGAAGACGCGCGGGTGAGGCACGAGAAGCTGCCCACACCTCTTCCCCTCTCCGCTGCAGAGCACGGTCGCCACCCAGATCCAGTCCTGAGAACCAGGGACATGAGGCCACATGGCAGAAGTGTGATCGACTGGCCTCTGCTTTTCACCAAGGAGCAGAAGAAACCCAGAAGAATCCTCCCTCCTGCCCCCAAAGGCCAGCCCATCTTGGGGAAAGGGGACCCCGGCCCCTCCCACCTGCATGCGCTTCACCATCATCAGCTGTTCCACCAGGGGCTGCGTCTCGCCTGTCAGGTTCATGGTACCCTCGAGCAGGACCAGCGCGTGGACGGTGGGGAAGCCAGTCTTGTGCAGCTGCTCCGAGTGCACAGACAGCATTGTGGGGATGCTGAGGGGACACACATGGGGGACAGTGTTGGGGGGCGAAGGGGAGAGTGGAGGGGCCGGGGCCCGGTGCCATGCCTTCCCCCATGCCCCAGGGCACTCCCTCTCTCTCCCATCACCAGCACAGCCCAGGGAGCCACACCTCCTAATGAGGCTGCCACAATGCTCAGCCTGGCTCCGGAGCTGGGGGTCGCTGAGGTTGGCCAGGATCTCCCCAAGCTTCAAGAGAGAGTGCTCCATGGCAGTCCAGGAGGCTGGCGGGGAAAAGGAAACACAGAAACATGATGGGAAACAGAGGAGGCACAGCCTGGCCCCAAACTCCTCGACTCTGGCACCCCGTTAGGCCCATGAAACCACGCAGGGAGGCTTCCCCTGAGGATGACACAGAGGCAAGGGCCTGAGGGCAGCATGCACTGCTTCCAGAAGGGGAGTGAGCACCAAGGGCTAGAGCCCCTAGAAACCATGTCCAAAGGCCCAGGGGATGCACCCAGCTGACTTTAGTGACTAGGTATGGCATGACACAGGCAGTGGAAGAGAGAGGCAGAGGAAGTGAGAGTCCAGTGGCCGGAACAAGGAAGGCCCTTCAGGAGTGGGCCAATCTGAAAGGCCAGCCTTGCAGAGGCTGTCACTGTCCTCTAGTTGAGCTGGGTCCCTACATGGCCTCCCCGTTCTCACCCGCTCCCTTGACTGGACGCTATGCTCATGGCCCTCCCCTTCTGAATGCCTCTCCTACACCCTCTCCAGCCCCCATCATGCTTCAAGTCTCTGCTCGAGCCCAGGTTCCTTTAACAACCCACCCAGCTGCTCTGAACCATTGATCTTTCCCTCCTCGATCCTACACTCATGGTCTAGACTGCATCAGTTAGCACTTAATTATAAGCCAAATATCCTCGTTACAATTCCAGAGGGTGAAATGATGACTAATGACACCAACTAGCCCATTAAACTCCATGGAGCACAGGGGGGGAAAAAGACCTGAGATCCATTAAAATTAAGCATTCATCCACTTTTCAGCCTATAAACATTTATCGAGTGCCCAAGATAGGTAAGAAACTGTCAACATAGTCCATTTCTACATAATGATTATCTTTCTGGACTGTTCACAGGCAATAAAACGTATTTACAGAAGTAATAAATACACTAATCCTGTAACAAGCTCTCCGACCAGGTCCTGAAGACTTAAGTGAAATCCATTCTAGTGTTCTCGTTACTGGAGAACGAGAGATCCTTAGCTGGTCCCAAGCCACCCTGGCTCCAGCAAGACTGTGGCCTTAGGACCCCGTTGCCTGAAATGCCAGAGTCTTCCCTCCCACCAGGTGATCTGTCTGTTCTCAGGCTCTGGAAGGTTCCAATACTTAATATCTGAACTTGAGTCAAGAGGTGTATGGCACAACGGGCCCAACAGCAGACAGGCACCGTGTTTAAGGGACATTTTAGGGAACACTCAGATATGAGAATCGTCTGCTTCCAGACGGTAAGTAACATGGAGACAAACACCAGAACAGACGGTGTGCTTGTCTTGCCCTCTAATTTTTTCTGCGTATATGACATACTAGCCTGGCTCCCCACTAGCATGTATGCTTGTTGAGGGCAGGGACCCTGCCACATGCTCCTTTAGTAGCCCCCCTCCCCCCGCCCCCAGCACCTGGCACAGTGCTGGGCATACAATAATGCTCAGTAAATACCTGTTGGTTGATTGGCTCGGGTGCCACCCTGCCCAAGTCCCTGGGATGTGTGCAATGCTTATGGGGAGAAAAAAAAGGAAGTGGGATGGTTTCAGATCCTCCTGGAAAGAAGTGGGATGGCATCCTGCCTCTCCCCTCTCAATTAAAGGACCAACCATGGGAGCAGCGGCAGGTGGGGCTCAGGGGAATCAGGGGACATACAGGCCTCTTCTAGCTTGGCGATGTGCAGCAGGGCCCGGTTCTTGGTGCTGCTGAGGGTCTTCTCCAGCCGCTGCAGGCACATGGCAAGCTGCTTCTCCCCTGCGGCTGGGGCGCCGGCCTCCAGCCCCTCCCGGAGCCGCTCTGCAGAGGCTGCCGTGCAGCGCAGCAGCCAGTGGAGGGCGCTGAGAAGGGCTCGGCACAGCCCGATGCACTCCTCTGCTTTGCCGTGGCAGCTATAGGGAAAGGATGTAAAATTTGTCTCTGCTCCAAAGGCTGAAATCCGACCCACGCTGATGTTCCCCAGAGTGTCTGGCACTCTCCTCCCAGGGAACAGAAGCCAGCAAAGTCCTGGGGAAGACACCTAGGCCCTTCGGCTTCCACTGGACAAGATTTCAAATGAGCTACTCCAAACAGAGAAGAGGCTTTCTGTCCTAAGGGAGTAAGTAGAAAAGGATGGGGATGACTGGGTGTGGATGGGGGGAGACGTGGGGAGAATAAATGTAGGAACCCACAGGCGACTCAGTCTGTGTGCCAGAAGCTTCTCCTTTGTACTAAGCTAACACTGGAACACTGTGAGCCCCTCACCCATGCCCTTACCTCAGACGGTCACAAAACATGTCCATGATATCCAGCAAAGCCTGAATACACAGGTCCCGGGAAAAGTCATCAAACTGTGGAAAGAACAGTGGAGATGCTACAGGATGCTCCAGTCAACCCCTGGGTCGCGCACAAAAGTGTGGTATTCATCGCTCCTGCCCTCTTTCCTCCAACCTCAGGACTCAGACTCAGCATCCTTTCAACACTAGAAATTGGTGCCTAAGGGCCAGCCCCCACTTCCCAGGAACGCCCACTCCCCACCCCCACCCAGGCCCGGAAGGCCAGCAATGCCAGCCAGAGGCATCAAGTGCTGCCTGTCCAGCCACAGAGGTCACACGAGCAGGGCAGCCGTGGAGTGGGGCCTTGTCTGGCACGCCCCATCTAGCTTGTGAGTGGCTGTGGTCATACCTTACTAATAGCTGTGAGGACAGAAGAGTAGGACACCATCTGGAGGGAAGGAAGAAAGGCGACATTCAGATGACTAGTCACCCACAGTTGAGAAGAACAAACACTGACGCTTAAAGTTGCTGTAGCTCTCCTGAAACCTCAACCTCTTCAATAGGCCTTCCTCAACCCACTAAGAGAGGTGGTGAAACTGTGCATTCTGAAAAAATTTGACCTTAAAATAAATTTCTGTTAGTAAAATCTATTCATCCCCATAATAAGATTAGAGATCTAGTTCAAAAGAAATAACTTGTTCTGAATGGAATTAAACCCTATAGACACTCTTCTAAGTTGTTATATTTTTAAAAAATAATTATAGTATGCTGATAAAATAGGAATAATATCATAGAAAGTAGTTATGATGGCATTCTCAAAATCAGTGGCAAAGTACGCCAAAATAAAAAAGCAGAACACAATCACAGAAATGATCAAGACAATCACCATCCTCAAAGGTTGTCTCTGCGCAAGTAGAAACCTTCAAAGATTTAAGAAGAAAGCTAAGTCAGACAAGCAGGGTGGCTCATGCCTATAATCCTAGCACTTTGGGAGGCCAAGGTGGGAGGATCACTTGAAGCCAGGAGTTTGAGGTCAGTCTGGGCAACACAGCAAGACTCCATCTCTACTAAACATTAAAAAATTAGCTGGGTGTGGTGGCGTGAGCCTGTAGTCCCAGCTACTTGGGTGGCTGAAGCAGGAGGATCGCTTGAGCCCAGAAGTTCCAGGCTGCAGTGAGCTAAGATTGTGCCACGTGCCACTACACTCCAGCCTGGGTAACAGAGCAAGACTCTGTCTCTAAAAAGAAAGAAAGAAAGAAGAAAGCTAAGTCAGCCTCAATCACCTGAGAATGGTACTTTTTCCTTCTATGCATAATTTCCCTATCACCTGCATGCACTGCTCTCTGTTCAGACATCTTTAACTAATAATCTTGGATGAACAGGCACAAAACACAGAAAGGGCTTAAATATAATCAGTGTTCAAAAGCACCATACTGTGAAGCCAGAGCTAATGTCTGACAGTGATCAGAAAGTTGGGAGCCTGCCTGGGTAGGATGACCATAAAGTTCCAGGCGAGTGTTTGTTTATTCATAACTGATGTCCCCATAGCAAGCTCTTGGCAAAGAACTGAACCTTGTTGGATACCAACCTGTAGGGGGAGCAGGATGTTCCCACTGACCCTAAACTACAAGGAGAGAAACCCCCCAATTCTGTATGTTCAGAGGGATATCATTAGTCAAAATGAATTTATGGTCTTCAAAGTATAAATTCTGTTCAGTAAATTTTTGCTAACAGTATCAATAAAGCATGGCTACTCCACAGACCTAAAAATACTTTCCACGTGTTGAACACAGCAGGATCTGACCTATTCCAGTCTTAATAATTCTGTCACTATAGAAGCTCTGAACCATCACGAGCTCCAAGGCTGGAGACCCTCTGTGTGGCCCACCACACCTGTGGCCAGCCCCACCTGAGCCTGCCACTGCTCTCTAATCCTCTCCGCTGCTCTTCCTCATATCCAACACCCCCAACCACGCTTAAGTGCCCTCTACACGCACAGCACCAGACCAAAGAGCCTCTTGACTCTGAAGGAAGAATAAATTACTAATTTTGCACAGCACTTGACAGGTCGTGAAGGTCTTTCTATCCATTTATCTCTCCCTGTTATTTTAGCCTCTTTCTCCTTCTTGCCTTTCCCATCAGTGTTTACACATCTTGAGATTCTTCTATTTTTAAAAGAGCTTCCTACAGACCCCACACTTCCATTTAACCACCACCCTCTCTCTGCTGCTCTTCAACCCACTCCAATCACTTCGGTCCTGACCACCCCGGGAATCTGCTCATTAAGGTCATCAACAAACTCTTGATGTTACACCCAGTGGATGCTTCTTGCTTCTGATCTTACCTGACTTCCCAGCAGCCTCTGACCCCATAAAACACTCCCTCATTCTTCACTCCTCTCTTCCTTTGACTTTTCTTGGTACCACACTCTCTTGCTTTTCTTCTCTCTGGCCCCTTCTTTTCAGACTCCTATGAGGAATTCTCTTCCTATGTGCGTTCCTTAAATATCATTGGTTCCTCAGGAAATTGGCTGGAGTCACTTTTTTTTTTTTTTTGGAATGACTTCTTTACTCACACTTCACACTCTCTCTGGGCAAGATCTCCATGCCCACAGCTTTGATTACCACCTGTGGCTGATGACTTCTAAACTAGTCGCTCCAGTCTCAACTTCTCCTTCTGAGCTCCAGACAATACGTTCAACTGTCTACTGAGTAGCCTCTGATAGTCCATACAGGCACCTTAAATCTAATAAGGCCAAAATCAAATATGCCATCCCCGCCCACATCCCAACTCTAACGAAAGTCCTATCTGCTTCTGCTGTCTGCTCATGAGCTATCGGCCGTGTCCAAACCAGAAACCCAAGCATTATCCTTCATCTCTTTCCCTCCCTCACTCCCCTCATCTGGCTAATCACCAAATCGTTTCAAGGCCATTTCCTAAATTGTTCTTGAATTCATCTCCCCGCCCGCTACTTCCCAATTTTATGCTAATGTCATCTCTCACCTGAATTACTGCAGTGGCCCAAATCAGTAGTTAGAAAAACTACAGCTCACAAGCCAAATCTGGCTCGGCACCTTTTTTGTTTATAACGTTTTATTAGAACAGAGCCATGCCCATTTATTTAGAGATTGCCTATATCTGCTTTCCAGCTATAATGACAGAATAGCAGTGAGAGAGACCATACAGCCTTCGAAGCCAAAAATATTTACTATCTGGTCCTTTAAAGAAAATGGCCGGGCAAGGTGGCTCACGCCTGTAATCCTAGCACTCTGGGAGGCCGAGTTGGGAGGATCGCTTAAGCTCAGGAGTTCGAGACCAGCCTGAGCAAGAGTGAGACCCCGTCTCTACTGAAAATAGAAAAAAAAATTAGCCAGTCAACTAAAAATAGAAAAAAAAAAAAAATTAGCTGGGCGTGGTAACGAGCACCTGTAGTCCTAGCTACTTGGCAGGCTGAATGAAGAAGGATTGCTTGAGCCCAGGAGTTTGAGGTTGCTGTGAGCTAGGCTGACGCCACGGCACTCTAGCCTAGGCAACACAGTGAGACTCTGTCTAAAAAAAAAACAGTAAAACATTACAAACAACCTAAATTACAGTACATATGGAACATTATGCAGCAGTTAAGAAGATTAAGGTAAATCAATATGTGCTAACATAGAAAGCAGACATAATGCCAAGAGGAAAAAGGAAGTATTAAGAATTATGTATCTCAGGCCGGGCGCAGTGGCTCACGCCTGTAATCCTAGCTCTCCGGGAGGCCGAAGCAGGCGGATTGTTTGAGCTCAGGAGTTCAAAACCAGCCTGAGCAAGAGCGACCCCGTCTCTACTAAAAATAGAAAGAAATTAATCGGACAACTAAAAATATATAGAAAAAATTAGCCGGGCATGGTGGCGCATGCCTGTAGTCCCAGCTACTCGGGAGGTTGAGGCAGTAGGATCGCTTGAGCCCAGGAGTTTGAGGTTGCTGTGAGCTAGGCTGACGCCACGGCACTCACTCTAGCCCAGGCAAGAGAGTGAGACTCTGTCTCAAAAAAAAAAAAAAAAAGAATTATGTATCAACTCAAAAATACCATTCAGAAATTTAAAAAATGAACTACTGACATACACAACATAGATCAATCTCAAAAGCATTTATGTTAAACAAAAGAAGACAGTATACAGAGTACATACTATATGATTGCATTTCTATGAAATCCGAATAAAGGCAATAATTGGTAATAGAAATCATTTAGTGGTTACAGGAGAGGGAGGTGGGACAGAAAGGGACAAAAGGGAACTTTCTAGGAGAATAGAAATGTTCTCTATCTTATTTTGGATGTTGTTGACATGAGAAGATACAATTGCTAAAACTAACTGAATTGATCTTAAGATTTGTGTATTTTATTCATATATATATATATATATATATATATATATATAAGTAAATTCTATCACACTGTTTTTCTACTTAAAACCCTTTAAATGATTACTTGTCAAGATAAAGTCCAAACTCCTTAACATCACCCACAGGTCCTTTATGACCTTACCTCTCTCTCTCTAAACCACTCTCCTTGAAGTGCTAGTCTAGCAGTTCTCAAGGTACAGTCCAAGGACTCCTGGGGATCTCCAAGACCTTTTCAGGGGATCTAGGAGGTCAAAACTATCTTTAAAATACTACTAAGGTATTATTTACCTTTTCACTCTAATTTTCTCCCAATTGTACAGTGGAGTGTCCCAGAAGGTCCATGATGTGTGATGATGTTATATAATTAAATATGTCAACAATCGGAATAGCTGTATAACTTATAGATATTTTCCAAATAACCAAAATTCATGGATAGGTAAAAGATCTATTCAAAGTGCAAGAAAGATCAATGGATTTTAATGTAACCGAGTATTTTAGTGTAGTATTTAGTGTAGAATTTTAGTGTAGTATCAAAGAAAAATACCCCCAGTTTTCTGAAAAACTTAGTAAAAATACTTTTCCATTTTCAAACTAAACATCTGATTTGTGAGGCCAGATTTTCCTCATATACTTAAGCAAAACAGCCTGTTGCAACGATGGAATGCAGAAACAGATGTGAGAATTCAGCTGTCTTCTGTTAAGATAGACATTAAAAGAGATTTGCAAAAATGTAAAACAATGCCATTTTCCTCACTAATATTTTTGCTCTGGAAAATATGGTTATTTTTCATTAAAATGTTATTTATATTAACATGTAATGGGTTATTTTTTGTTACTTTTAAGTTTACTAATGAATATTTTTTTAAATTTGTTTTAATTTTTAAGATGGTAAATATAGATACACATAACACACACAAACAAAAGCTCAGAGTCTCAATAATTTTTAAGAGCATAATGGGGTCGTGAGAGCAAAACTGCTACTCTAGCCATACCAAATTATTTTTGCTTCCTAAACAACATCATGTGATTTTGCCTCCCAGACTTCGCATATGCTTTTTCTCTGCTTTGCACACTCTCCTTGCCTGGCTGGCACACAACCTGCCTGGCTAACTCTTCCTCAATATTCAGGTCTAGATTTAAACATTACTTCCTCCAGAAAACCTTCCCTGATTGTTCAGACAGGAGGGGTGCCCCTCCCCTGTACTCCCATGGTACAGATGGTCCCCAACTGAGTCAACTTACTGCTTTTCGCTTTTTCAGTACAGCGGTCAATAAATTACATGAGATACTCAACACTTAGTTATAAAATAGGCTTTGTGTTAGGTGATTTTTCCTAACTGTACATTAGTGTAAGAGATTTTGAGCATGTTTAAGGTAGGCTAGGCTAAGCTACGATGTTTGGTAGGTTAGGTGTATTAAATGCATTTTCGACTTAACAATATTTTCAACTCATGATGGGTTTATCAGGATGTAACCCCATCATAAGTCAAGGAGCATCTGTACTCTGTCCTAGCCTTCATCATAAACCCATTCTGTGACACACTGCTTATTTATATGTCTGCATTACTCACTAAATTCTTTATGTACTGGGATCAGGTCTTGTTCACAGTTATGTCCACAGGACCTAGCACTATCTGGCACATATAACCATTAATGAATATTTCTTCATTGACAAAATAAGTGAATGTAATATTCATCACAACAAAAGAAGTATTATTTTTACAGGAAGACTGAAACTCAGAAAAATGGCCAGTTCAAACAAATTCATCTACAAAGTGTAAGTTGACAATTGCACTCCAAGTCTTTTACTTCCAAAACCCTTACTCCTTGAGAGCGGTGGGGAGGGGCGCTTTACCTGGGAACTAATGGCATACTTCAGGTAGGACAGGATGAGAGGATTGGGGGAAGGTCCAATCATGGCCTGCTCCAGTAGTGCATCTGCATGGGGAATGACAAGTAAGAATGTGATTACGACCTTTCTGGGTTTATCCCTTATCCCTCCCATCTTTCTATCCCACTTCATTTGAGACCTGCCAGATTGAGAATGTCCCAGGTGGCTCCTTTGGGAAAAAATTTCTTCATGTTGATTGCCCATTGGTAGTCACTCCATCGCTCCTTCCAGGCTTGCAAAATGGCTTGCTTCAGGTTCACCACCTTCATGACTTTACTCTGAGGAGGTGCGGCCGGTGGCAGCCAGCTGCCTTGAGGTGGGAGAAATGGAGCCAGAGAAGAGATGAAGTTCTGAGGAAAAGAACAAGGGAATGCAGAGTTAAACAGAATGGAGAAGATGCGGAAAGATTTAAGCAAGGCACAGGAACGAGAAAGAAAAAGGTGGAATGAGGCAAGGTAGAGATCCTGTCAGGCTCTTCGCTCCTGAACCATCCTTCCTTGAACTGGGGCACTAAGAAGATGGTATCAAAGGGGGCTACTACGAAGACTAAAGAGGGCAGCAAGGAGTTAAGCCAGTTCCGGTTGTCTAATTACGCCCTTAACTCTGGCTGAGTCCCTTAGGCACTAGCACCCCAAGTCCAGATTTTTTTTTTCCATTTCCTCCACCTTCCCTAACCTTGTAACTATAATTCCCTATTTCCTTTTTATTCGCTACCTCCCCAAATTTAAGCCTACCGGACAATCTAGTTCTAGAGCGTAGGCATCGCCATTTTGGGACTTATCAAGGAGTTCATTTTCTATTGGCTGGGAGTAACAAACAGGAACCAATAGAAATGCAGCAAGGAAAGCCACGGTGTCTTCTGGGAATTGTAGTTCTCTGGCCTGGGATCATATTTGTCCGCGCTGGAGAGGAAGCTAAAGGACAAATCTAGACGGTCCGCATAGTTTCTGTCTTTTAAGGGAGGACTTCCAGGAGCTGGGGCACCACAGAGACTGAGGAGCTGGGGGAGCGCGAAAAGCTGCTTGCAACCAGGCACCGCCCAATGACGTCACTTTCGACCGGGCTTCATCATATTCGGACACCCTTTCCTTACCCTCTAGTTAGTAGGTGCGGAAAGGGTGTGGCGTTCAGCAATAGGTACTTTCTCTTTCCTGGCCTTTTTTTGTTCTCCTAAATCCCTGGGATTACCAGAGTTCTCATTTCCACACCTGTATTCCAAAAGCGACACTGAGGTGCAGTTAGTTGCACATACATCACCACTTCCAAATCTGACGGTCCTCCCACAATCTCCTGGCCTTGCATACTGCTTGTATACGGGGGAAGTAAGGAGGAAACTGGGATTAAGGTTATCAAAAGCAAGAGAACTCTGAGAAACTGTCATAGCCTAGATGGGTAAGGAGACGTGATGACTAAAGGTAATGTGGTATTCTGAATAGGATCCTGGAACGAAAAAAGAACATTAAGGCCGGGCGCGGTGGCTCACGCCTGTAATCCTAGCACTCTGGGAGGCCGAGGCGGGCGGATCGTTTGAGCTCAGGAGTTCGAGACCAGCCTGAGCAAGAGCGAGACCCCGTCTCTACTAAAAATAGAAAGAAATTAATCGGACAACTAAAAATATATAGAAAAAATTAGCCGGGCATGGTGGCGCATGCCTGTAGTCCCAGCTACTCGGGAGGCTGAGGCAGAAAGATTGCTTGAGCCCAGGAGTGTGAGGTTGCTGTGAGCTAGGCTGACGCCACGGCACTCACTCTAGCCCGGGCAAAAGAGTGAGACTCTGTCTCAAAAAAAAAAAAAAGAACATTAGGTAAAAACTAGGGAAATGTGAATTAAACATGGAGTTTAGTTAATAATAATGTATCAGGCCTGGCACGGTGGCTCGCTCCTGTAATCCTAGCACTTCTGGAGGCCAAGGCTGGAGGACTGCTTGAGGCTAGGAGTTGGAAACCAGCCTGGGCAACAAAGTGAGACCCTGTCTTTAAAAATAATAATAATGTATCAATATTGGTTCATTAATTGTTACAAATGTACCATATTAATATTAAGATGTTAACGAAAGGGGAAATTGGGTGCAGGGTATGTGAGGACCTGCTACTACCTTCAAATTTTTTCCTGTAAATGTAAAACTTTTTTTAAAAGATTATTTTTTTTTAAATCTTGCTTATCCCAAAGAACCATATATAAATTATTATGCCAAGGACTTGGGGCATTAGCCTTTCTTTCCCCCAGTGAGAAGCCCAAAAGCAAACGTTACCCACCTCTAACTCCAAAGTCTTAGCCTCCCTAACACAGCCCTGACCCCTGCCCTGTTCTATGGACTGGTTGTCCCTAACATTTACAGTCTGTGATAGGAATAAATTACTTGGGGAGCTGAGGTGGGAGGATCACTTGAACCCAGTAGTTCTAAACTAGCCTGGACAACATAGCAAGATCCCATATCTAAAAAAGAAAACAAAAATTTTTTTTAAAAAAAGTAAATATGGGCTGGGCATGGTGGCTCACACCTGTAATCCTAGCACTTCAGGAGGCCAAGGCAGGAGGATTGCTTAAGGCCAGGAGTTTGAGACCAGCCTGAGCAAGAGCAAGACCCTGTCACTCTTAGAAATAGAAAAATTAGCCAGGTGTGATGGTGTGTGCCCGTAGTCCCAGTTACTCGAGAGGCTTAGGTAGGAGGATCGCTTGAGCCCGGGAGTTTGAGGTTGCAGTGAGCTATGATGACAGCATTGCAACTCTAGCCTGGGCAACAGAGCAAGAGACCCTGTCTCAAAAAAAAAAAAAAGTAAATATGGAGGCCCCCACAGCCAGTGTCCAGCCCCTAATCTCATACCATAAGGAGCCTGATATCCCAGTTCACAAGTTCAAGTTCCATCCATATTCCCCAACAACTATCTTTTGGCTACCCTTTGAATGGCAAAATCAGTTCTCAGGAGGACAAATCTGGGAGAGCAGCCCACTAAGGCTCTGGAAGCAAACTTGTGGCCATTTGGGCAAGGAATAAATGGTGGGTTTCTGGAGCATGGTCTAAACAGGGAGTCAAGGACTCCTGTTCCAAAGGGGAGAGTGTGGCTGGAAGAGGGCCAGGTGACATCCCTCTGAGGCTGGTACAGCCTATGGCCTTTCTCCTCCCCATACACCCACCCACATTGCCCTCCATTCTGCTCCCTTTATACCTGCCCAACTGACACCACTGGGGAATAGTGTTTATACAAACCGGCTGCCAAATAGGTGTAGCCAAAGCCTCCAAAGCAGGAGGGAGGGAGAAACCAGACTCCTCACACTTAACCTCTAGACTCCCCCCAGCCATACCCCGTGACATTTGAGACCGTCACAAACTGCTTCTCTTCAGCCTCTTACCTATCTGGCTTCCCTTTTTTTCCCAGGTCCCTCACCTTCCCTTTTTTTTTTTTTTTTGAGACAGAGTCTGGCTCTGTTGCCCTGGCTAGAGTGCCGTGGCATCAGCCTAGCTCACAGCAACCTCAGACTCCTGGGCTCAAGCGATCCTTCTGCCTCAGCCTCCTGAGTAGCTGAGACTACAGGCACATGCCACCATGCCTGGCTAATTTTTTCTATATATTTTTAGTTGTCAAGCTAATTTCTTTCTATTTTTTTAGTAGAGACGGGGTCTCGCTCTTGCTCAGGCTGGTCTCAAACTCCTGAGCTCAAGTGATCCTCCTAACTCAGCCTCCCAGAGTGCTAGGATTACAGGCAGGTGTGAGCCACCACACCCGACCCCTCACTTTCCCTTTGTCTGCTCCCCACCTCTCATTCTACTCCTGTTACAGCAGCCTAAGGCCCACACCTGGAGTCATTCCTGGATCCTGCAGCTCCTTCCCCATCCCTCATGGCCCACACTGGCTCTCTTGGAAAGAAACTGTCAACTTTGACAGAGTTGGTGGGTGTTGAGTCCAGTCCACACGGGAGTGGGGAATATTTGGACCCTGAGAATGGTGATATTCTAAGCTCAAACCATCCCTTCTGGCAGAAAGCCTGGCAGATTTCTAGGGAGGTGCCTGAGCCTCCCCAATTCACAGTGACAGGGAGGCGGCTTTTGTAGTTAGGCCATCTGCCTTTCCATTCCCCCCACCTCCCACTAGCAGTCCTTTCTCTAGGCTTGGCAGGGTTTCCCTAAGTACTGGCCTCCTATGTACAAGGACTCCCTTAGCTCTGGGCAAGGGCCATTTTTAATTTCTCTACTTTGACCTTCCCACCTCTCTAATCTGTAAATATCAGAGATAACCTTTCCCTACACTGCCTCTTCCTGCCACACCACAGTACCTTCCTAGGGATCCCCTTGAGCTCTCTGGCTCACCTACCTCAAGGATGGGGCTCCACGATATCCTCCAGGGGTGAAAGAAGAAATGCTGGCGTCCCCTTTGGGTGTAGAGAAAATGGCCCCTACTCCCTCTCAGAGCCCCCTTCTACCTGCCCCACTTTTTTCTGCTATCCATTTCCTCTCCCTCAGCACTGGCGAAGCTGAGCTCCCCCCTCTGCCCTCCTAGCCCTGCGCCCCAACCTCTCCAACTTGTTGGCTGCTCTGGCTGGGAAAGAGGGACAGGGGAAACCCAGCCAGGCAGAGTGACATGGCAACATCTGGAGTAGTGGCAGAACAGCAGCCAGGCCAGAGTGGGGTAACAGGCTGTGAGGAACAGGGTTTGGGGTACCCCAGGGGAAGTGGACATTCCCTATCTAGGCTAGAAAAGAGTATAAGGAAAAGTGGCAAGAGTCCAGACCCAAAAACCCAGAAACACTGAAATCGCTGGTAAGCACACAAGGCACAGAGAGTTTCAGCTTCCCTTCTCTCCATAGGGAAACTGAGTCATTCCCCTCCCCTGAGGGGAACATTTTCCTTGGAAGCTTGCCTGGGTCCCCCACTATGGGCAGCAGGTGGATGGGAAAAGAAAGAGAGTCACTCCCACATGCTCATACACAGCTGGCTCCAAACCAGTTCCCTTCCCCACCAGTCCCCAAATCAAAATCCCTGTTTTCTATCTATGTGGGGAAGGGAACGATGGGGAAGGGGCCAACAAGGTGGCTGCACGTCAGGGACAGCCCCTAGATGCCCCACAGTTGCCTGTCGCTGTCTTCCCACTGCTCTAGAAGAGTGAAACACAGAATTTGAACCAGTCCTCAGAGTGTTTCCTCTTAACACCCTGGAGGACGCCTTCCCTCGCCACACTCCCAGCACAGATGAGAAGACAGGCGTTGTGATCCCAAGGCCTGGCTGGCAGGGAAGGAAGGCCAGCCTGCCATTTCCTCTGAACAGCTTCTCCCTCCAAGCCCTGAGAGCCACTCTACTCTAGACTCTTGGCCTCCTCGCCAGCCTGTCTCACCCTCTCCTTTAACTAGAGGGGGAGGGGGCTGCCGGGCGGGTGAGCGCCCCTCCCCCTCCTCTCTTCTCTCCCACTGGCAAAGGCAGAATGAGGGGACTCTATGGGAGGTGAAATTAGAAGCTGGGAACATTCACGGGATCTGATACCTGGCACATATTAAATGCTCCAGGAAAAAAAAAAAGTGTTGGAGGAATAAAGGTAGGAGAAACCCAAAGGACAACCTGAAGAAGGTGTCAGCTGCTTTTTCTACTTCTTGCCTCAGCTACTAAAAGCAAGGCTCTGTCAGGCCTGGTCCCTTCTCTGGCTCCCTCTTTGTGACCCATAATAAAGGCACCTGATGGGACAAAGGGGAGAATTAAGTGGCCACTTTACTCTTGTCAGGGTAATTGCCAATTTCCCAGTCTCTCATCTCTGCCAGCCACTTGATCTCCAAACTGTCCCCCTTTCTTTCC